CTCTGAAGTCACTGGAAAAAGTAATTAAGTCATTTTTTTACCTTCCTAAACATCTTCCTTCTAGTGCTGACAAGCTCATCTATGAGATTCCTGGCAACAAAGTAGAGTAAAGTTCAGGTGGAAAAAATATCTTGTCATTCAACTCTTAAAAAACAAAGCACCAAAAATAACGCACCTCTCACTGCACAGGAAACTGTCATTTTCTGTTACACGAGCCAACAGTAATCAAAAATAGACGGCAGGATGTTGTTCTTGTACTACTACCCCAATATCCACTGACAACTTTTTTCCACCTCCACCAGACTGGAGGGAGAAGCGCTCATAGAACTGGGATGCAAATGAATAATAACCATTCCTCTGTGCTTAATAAGTGGGAATGGTCCTGGAAAAGTCCACAGCTACAAAGCAGACCAAAGGCTCTGAGAGGACATTCAAGGAGAGACCTCCATTGGCTGTGACAGAGACCGTTGTGTGGGTGGAGAGAGCAACAGGGAGGCAGGCAGAGACCATTGGAAGAGGGAAGTCATCCTGAATGTTCACCCAGTGCCTTTTCTTCAGCCCTGTTGCCTAGCGAGCAAAAATATTTACTCTTTACCAAAAACTGCACAGGATTTTTTTTTTCATTCTGGAAGAGTGAAAACAATGAGACTTATCAATCTTAATTAATTGCAGAGGCTCCTGCCAGCCACAGTCTTTGAGGAATCTTGTTTGACTGGAATGTTGATCTTGTGATAGGCAGGAATAGTGTAACCATGGCGATGGGGGAAAAAAAAAACAGTCTGGATCTGATTGGGCAAGACAGGTTGAATTATAAACTCTTTCAGTCAAAGTGTCTGTTTGTGTGTGTGACTGAATTTAAGTGTGTCAAATCACATCCCCACACGACAAACCAAACAGGGGTTGTATTTTCCTGCCATCACAGCTGTATATCGGTTGTCATGGTGAGTCGCACGGCAACGTCTGGGTGGCCACGGGTTATTTTGTTTGCGCTCGAGCCCACTTTGCTGCAGCCTGCATGGCGATGGCACAGTCTGTTGTGGTGGGGCCCTGTTTTGTGGTGCGTCAACAGGGGGAACGGGTTTCATTTCCTAGTGCAGAGCCACCGAGCTTCATGCCCACAGATGCTCATTCCAGCTGGAGGGGATTACTGATGACATGTACCAGCCTGGAACAACACTGAGGCTGCTGTGAGAGGGTATGAGGGAAGGGAAGAACCACACCTAGAAATCTGACAGAGCCACTCTGGCTGAGAGCAGACATAAGGAAACAGCTGGAACAGACTGGACAAGCATGGAAATACAGAGGGAAAGTCTGGGAGGGAAAGAGGGTTAGAAACGGGTATAGTAGTTATGGTCTTTCTGTGTAAGTATGACTGTGGGATGTTCAAAACAGATAATTTATTCTTACTTATGTTCTAAGTGTATCTCTCAAGGCCAGTGACACCAACATTGTAAATTAGTTAAAGAGTTTCTAATACATTCAATGCATACTTTCAGACATTCACAGATTAGTAGTGCAAAGACTCAAGCCAATGCGATTCTACCAAAGACAAAAAATCTTTAAAAATGTGTCACAAATATATATATATATGTCTTTTTTGTTTTTTAAGTTCCTCTCCAGACATGTTTTAAACTATCTAAAAATACTTATTGAGAAATTCTGGATAAGGCCTTGTGCCCCGCCCACCACCACTACGCATGCTAGGTTGAAAGAGCAGTGCGTATCAAGATGGTTGGCGGAGGGAAAATCCGAGAGACTTATCTGAGCCACAGTCAGACCCAGACTCGGGAGACTGTTGAGCTTGTTGTGACAAAAATTGGCGACTAGAATAAATATCAGAACGGTAAGTCGTAGTTATTTGATTATGTTGTTTGTTAGCTTGTAACAGGCAGTGGTTGACACGGTGTTAGTGGCTGTGCTAGCTCAAACTCTTGCTCTCTGCTCCCACAAGGTTTCAGTGACTGGTGAAAGAGCAGATAGATGGTTAGTGTTAGAGATAAACAGTCAGACCAAGACTCAGATGAGAATTTTGTTGTGACCAAAATTGGCGACATATCAGAATGGTTAGCATAGTTAGCATCTTTTATTTATTTACGTTGTTTGTTAGCTCGTAACTGGCAGTGTTATCGGTTGTGCTAATGCAAACTCTAGCTCTCTGTACTGACAAGGTTTCAGATTTATTTTGCCGCTCTCTCGTCCCCACAAGTTGACGGGATTGGTTCCTTAGGTTTGTTAAGTATGAAACTCTGGCTGTCCGAATCTGTTTTTATGATCATTGGTTCACTGCAGTTCCAAGGTGGAAACACTCAGTCATGGTGTTGACTGATTATTTTGCACATGATATGTCTTGTATTATATATTAAAAAAAAACACCATACGGACATATTAACAGAGTCAAACACTTGATTTTCATCAGAAGGGGTTTGGATAATGATGGAGGTTTATGGCATAAATGAATAAGCAAAACCAGATTCCGGTTACACAGACAACATTTGTTCAAATGATCATTATTGTTGTTTTTTTAATGACAAACGCTGAAGATAAGGAAAAACTAGAACATTCCCAGGCTTATCCTTCAAGTTATATCATTACATCAGTCCCAATTTTTGATGCTATTTACGGCCGATATTTTTTCAGCAATGGCCATTCAGTGTATTTGCGTAACTGTTTCTCTATGTAGTAGTTGTCATTGTTACCGGCACCGCCCATCTCAAGGAATTCACAGGAAGTGAATGCCAGCTGGTGCAGTTGTAATTCAATCATGAAGTCAGTTTTATTGTGTTGGATCACATTGTTGACTGTCGTCTTTGTTAAAACAACATAACGGGATGGATTTTTTCAGGCCACGGTTTGTTTCTGAGTAAAGCTGCTCACAGCGTGTTTGCTGGCTGATGTAGGTATCATTTTGAAATGCACTTGCCATTACCACCAGTAACCACAGCGGTCGCCACATCAGGCAGAACTGAAATCTTCAGAATAATAACTTCAGTTTATTGGAGGAAGGACTGGACTACCATGAAATGATGAGAACAAACAGTGGTAAATCAGTGTGAAAACTGTGGTGTGGGGTGATGCCACCATATCGCTGCACTTACTCAAGTTAACACGTTAGTTACAACTGGATGAAGCTTGTCTTTGAGCATTGCAACAACCTCCCAAATGAAAAATTTAACCTCAGTACCCCCCCAGATATCATGTATCTTGAGACCATCAAGCTGCACAAAACTTGCTGGTGTTAGCAATCTTTCCGGTCTGTGATTTCTTGCCTCAGTATCAAACTAAGAGGAGAGGAGACTGATCTTATCTCGGTGAGTCTAGTGCTCTCCATTGCAGCATTGCCCTCTGATTCTGTCTGTGGATATGGGTGTTTTGATATAAATACTACGCCTTTCAGAGGTTAAATGCCCCAGAATTCTGGCATAAAAACAGAGCCAAAGGAAGAAACACCCAACCTCTCTGTAGGGCGTTGGTAAAATTCAAATTTCCATCCCTATAATACCTTGGAAATTCTGGCCCACCTTAGCATATTATAGTAGAGACATGCCCTACTTTAAGATGACTGACATCAAGAGACTCCTCAAAATAGGGATACAGAATACAGGACGTCTACAGGATAAAGCTACTCCAGTCTTCCCCCAAATCCCCCCTTTGGTGTGGTATCAGCTGAGAAGACGAGACAAAGGCTGTGGCTCCCACAGCTGGGCAACACACCCTTGACTGCAGCCTGAGCTGCAACAATGAAAACTAGAAGGCAGGCATTTTGGACTCACATACACACACATACACACAGAAGGAGAGGGAGTGGGAGAGGTTTCTCTGCAGTTGTAACACACGCCAGCACGCAGCTGCCTGGCTGGTTCTGTGAAACGCCAGCAATCGACACCAATGGCTGTGCAACACCAGTTCAACCTCCACCCTTGATGCTCTGACAGGAGTCTGAGTCTTTCTCCTTCTGGTGATGCAAGAATACAAGAGCCCCATTACAAGGCCGGCTTATCACAGCTCATCACAAATGGGCGTGTACCCCCCCCTCCCTTCCCCCAACCCCCACCTCTCCTTTCCTCCTCTCCCTCTCACTCTCCTCTGCACCAGCCTGCAACATGAACAGAAGCCCATGTCTGAAGTCTGCAGGGGACACATTTTATCCCGCACATGAAAATAAATGGGGCCCTTTGAGGAAATAATGAGCTGAAGCACAAAAATGGGAAATTATTTTATAGAAATCACTTTTGTTCTATTATTTGCCGATTAACAATCAGGAGACAATATGATTGAGCTATAATATCATTAGGATGCTTTTAAGTGTGTTACTAAAAACACTGCATTAAAATGGCAAGGAAAGCTCATTAACAATGAGACTACTGTTCAATAGACTCCCACATCAATGATCAATTAGGCCCAGAATAAATCCATGACAGGAAGGGCTGAACACATTCTTGTCAAAATGGCTAAAACGTGATTTTCATCGCTTCACTGAAATGGAAAAAAAGTAAGATACATATAGGGGTTGTGAATATGCTATAAAGCACATTAATGCAATGTAATAATGATATGCTGCCAAGGCACATTTGAAAATGATCAAAATGATCGGGTCACTATGAACTCGCAGCTCTGCGCTGCAGACAGCAGACAGTCCCTGCAGAAGCATTACAGTGATTTTTTAAGGGCGAGCCGGCTCGACACACGCATGGATACCCTCAACAAAGAAGATGCAGGACACCTTTAAGAAAACGCCTTTATCTCCCTGCCTCACTGTCACTGTGGCGGCCACTCATGCCATTTCGTCGTGCGCATTTTTTTTTCATCGGCTTCCTGCGGTCAAGTCTGACAATAGAAAAGACAAATTACAAGCCCGGAGTCGTGCTGGGGGCAGCGATATAGACGACAGTATGTTTAAGATACATCGACGCGGTGATTGAAATATTGCAATCCCGGAGATTTGCAACAGCAGGCATCAAAGTTCCTATAGTCAATGAGGCATAAATAACTCCTTTACTCACTGTGATCTTTGGGATGTTCTTTTTTCCTTGATAAGACATTTTTCGTTCGGTTCCACCTTCAAAATCAAGCTTTAAAAAACGGTATTCCCTCTTTACGGATGCTGCAGCGGCCCTCGCCTGGATGGGAGCTTCAGGGAATGGTCGCCCCTCTGTCAGTGCGATGTAAAGTGCCTCGCAGAGTGCTATAGGAGCGTCTCTGGTCCAGTCACCCGGCCCCTCCCTCAATAGGCTCAATTGGAAAGAGGCGGTGTGACAATCTTTCCACTGGAGGGCGCAGTGGAGCAGCTGGTGATCAGTCTGCAGCCACCATCCAGTTGTCTGCATGACTGAGCTGTCGCACATTCTTCCTCGCACATATACAGCACATATCAAATTATATTAGTGATTATTAGCCGGAGGTCATTCTTCTCTCGTAAACATCAAGTTGACCTGAATTAGCTGGTTTAAAAATTCACACCCATGTTCTCTCTGTGTATCCCTTGCCAAAGTCACTCAAGAGATGAACTGTTAGCCATTAGATTAGAATAAATTGCACTGTACTGTATAGGCAAAAGGAAGCAGCAAAAGCAAGACTCTCTAATCCAGGGAGAGTAGAAATCATCATCATCATACTCATTATTAAATCCTCATTATTAACATTAAAGGCTGAAAATATTCAGCTACTTTAAAACCTAACTGCACCATTGCAATACTGCTAACCATATAGGTATATACTGAATGAATAAACATTTACCAGTTTGCAAAATAAATTCACTGAGCTGTTGATACAAGGAAGGATAGTATATGACCAAACTTGTTTTGATTGAAAATTTGAAAATCTTAAAAGAAAAAGAAAAACACATTTATTTTAAATTCAAACATGTTCTATGTCTTATTTAAAAAGCACAAACAAATCTAATTATATGAACAAATTCCAGGTCACATTTTCTGTTTAAATAGAAATATTATATTATATTCGAGTAGGTTAGAGTGTAAATCTTTTCCAGTTATTACCTACAAGATTGTGTGGTTTTGTTTTTGTGAACACAGAGGAGGGGCAAAATGGTGGAGCAGCTGTCACAGAGCCTGTCCACCACATTACACACCCCACATGTCTACTCCCCACGACACACACACACACACACACACACACACACACACACAGAAAGACTCTCTCCCTCTCTCTGCATGTCCCCACCCAGCCATGTGTCTCTATTGTTTGGACTTAAAGTGGACCCCCCCAACCCCCCTCACCCCATCACCCCCACCCCACACACACACACACACATACTCACCCTCCACTCCACCAGCACTCCCCTCCTCAGCACTAATGCACTCATACCGGCGTGCACGTGACTGACACAAGTGCATGTGTATAAATTATAAACTGAAAAAAATCATAGTCAAATTCAGTACATACTCTTAATAGCTTCCAAGAAGAAAAACGTAGATTAACAGCACAGAAGATTTGAAGTTAAATGTTTAAAGGCTTTATTTGTATAATTATGTGTACGCTTCATTTAACAATAATTCAAAGAAATTATGGGCCGCAATGAAAAATCATCATCCATGTGGTTAATGTCATACGCTGACCATCTCAACATATAAGATGCAGATAGGCCTATCTATCTAGGCCTATATGAGGTGTTCTTATAAAGATGATAAAAAAAATAATAATTTTGGAGGAAAACACTTTCTCTGTATTTAGATGTCAAAACAAAAAAAACGAAACAAAAAATCTCAATAAATTGCTCCATGTTACTTACAGGATAAATAACAACACTACTACTACTACTAATAAAGGTTTTAACTGTCATATATGCTCATAATTGAGGGATGAGTCATTTAAAGAGGATTAAAAAAGGGAATCATTGCACAATTAGTTCATGTTGTGTGTCTCATAGCAAAAATCTACAAGTGTTGATGCTTGAAGTGCATGCATGTGTAACACATTGGCCAGTTTACTACATTTATTTTCAAAATATCTCATCCTCTAAACATTTTAGCGTAGCATCTCACCATGAACATCCTTTCACAAGCACAATTTTTTTATACTGGGTTGGGAGATAAATATTTTTGAAATAGATTTGGTTGTTAAAAGGACGCAGCTCCTGCATGCTGACATGTCCTTTCATGGCAGTGAGGGAGTAAGGCATTACCTCAGCATTCCCAGGGCCTTGGAGAATGCGTCAACAACGCACTTGAAGTTTGCAGGCCTGCTACCTCTGCAGACCACATTAACCAGCTGACACTGACAGACAGGCAGGGGGCGGACAGATCAAGGATGCAGAAGAGACTCTGTCGGGTCATCGAAGCCGTACCAGCGGGCTTGCTACCTTGGTGGCCTCAAATGGAAAAGAGAACTGATAAACTTTCACCAGCAATCATATTAAGAGACACCATTAACCTATACCCATCAGCATGATCATGTTTCGTGCTCTCGCTAATGTGTCATCACTTCATACCAAAGGATACAGGATGAATTTAGGAAGGACACCGGTGACAGTACAGCGTACTCTCATTGCTATTTTTTTGATGAAGGTTTTGAATTCAGTGCTTATGAGATTTAGTTTATGACTTCCTCTGGGTGAGAACAACAACATACACACCATCACAAGGATCATGTTTGGTTCATGGGGCAAATCTTAGTGGGATTAAAAGGGAACTTCAGCAATTTTGTCATACATTTCCATAAAATTGGGGGATTTTTTTCAAAAAAAAAAAAAAAGATGGTCAACATGCAAGCAGCAGAGTTCAAGCTCCAAAAACACTCAAGCCTACATTTCCCATAATGCAACTCGACAACTCCCTTTGTTGTACTGAGTTACACACCCTTTTTTTTTATATAAACCTGACACTCCAGTATGTAGCACAGTCTTTCTGAACTGTCTCTGAATCAGGATTATAGTTGAATGTTTTACCTACTGCACCTTTAATAATTGACCTGTGGGATACTGTCATAATTTACATTGCACCCTACACCCGTGCATATGGACAAGCTTAAACGTATCAGCGCATAGGTGTGCCTGTACTTTATGTGTGTGTCAGTGTGGATGTAAGTGTGTAAAGTGCCTCTCCCAGTCTGACTTCCACCCTGCAGAACAATAAAGAGGAGAAGGGAAGCGGGGGTGGAGGGGTTGGGGGGCTCATCCCTAAAACAGGCCAACCAGGCCAACCAGGCCAACCAGGCCAACCAGGCATCTGGCTGGCCACTCCCCATTATTCACTTCATTACAGCAGCTGATTACCCTAATTAGCTCACCAGACAGGAAGAAACCAGTAACATATACAAATATGATCATTATTGTTTACTATTACTGCATCCACCAAAGCTTATTCAATATAGACAATTACTTTGCTATAGCTATAAGATAGCCATGCATTAACCCCTGACCACCAACAGACTGCAGCTTTATAATGTCAAAGACATTCTGAATGAGATGAAAAGGCATTGAAACTGGGAAAAGAGACACTGGCTTTTCCACTTATCATTAGTTTGCATGTTGAGCCTGACTGGCATCCAGAGTGTACTAAATAATATCAGAAGAGTAAGCATGCCCTGTCTCTGCTGTCAGTCTGATGTCCTCACAAAGTTTCTACACCAAGCAAAAAAACAAAAACAAAACACACACACACAGCCTAACTCTTGTCTGTTGAATTCTGCTGAATCATCTGGTTACCTCAGGAGGTGCAATATTGCAGTTCAGCATCAGGCCACAAGGGGGAAATTGGCTGCCGGCCACACTGAAGATTTCTACATTCATGCTTAGGGGAAAAACTTCATTTTTATACCATAATGGACTGTGACAGTAAAGGCTGTAAAAGGCAGGATACAGTTTATATTTAGAATTCAGAAGAGACAAATCAAAATGTATCGTGAGGATTCAAATGCAGATAGATGGAGATAGGTTGGTGAGGGTGTGCGTGCCAAAGAGTCTGCTGTCTGGCAGAGAATCAATGACAGCACAGAAATCACTGATGCATAAATGATGAGGACAAACCGTTCAACCACAACAGTTAGAAAAGTAAGGTAAAAAAGTATTTTCAAGAAAACTTTTCTCATTTCTACCATAGATAATTTATCAGTATTCCCAAGTCTCCAGTGAATCCAACAGAGGGAGATAAGAGATCTGCCACGACAGCAGACTGTTTTGTTTTACCTTCACTGTGCCCTTAGACTCGGATCGAGCAGTATTTCAGTTGTGGGAATGGTAAGTGGGACTGGCATCAAAGGGCAACACAATACATAACAGAGCGTCTAGACATTCAAATGAATTTACTTTAAGTGATTATCTAGAAATTTTCCAATTAAGATTCTAAAAATTCCAAGAGCTCTTGGTGGGAAAATGTATGATACTATACTATTTTTCATTGGTATCCTCTAAAGCAATACACACCATTTAGCAGCACGATTACAGCAAACGCAATCAATGCTGCCGGTGATCTCAGACAAGGGTTGACGTCAGGCTGATAATAACTTTATGCATTTAAGCATATTACATTTTATTTGATTCTATTTGACTCTAATCTATGACATTGGATAATTTGATAATGTTTTAACTCTTTCCTGCTCCCTCACATTTGAACTTTATTGCTTTAAATCATTACTTTTGATTTCTCTTTTTGGAAAACACATCTTCTGCAGCAAAAACGAAAAAGACAGACTTGAGGACGGATCGTTTGGTTTTTTGTCTTTGTCATTGTGACAGTTGGCTTCACTTTGCTCTGGTGCTGAACATTTCAAACCCTGCGTCTCTCTGTGCCTCTCTCTCCATGGTGCTGAAACATTAAAGCCCAGCCTCTCCTTGAATGTCTCACCGTGGTGCCACACACACATGACATCATCAAAACATTCTGGTCACTGAGGACACCTATGATTTCTAGCAACAACAGGCCTTCTTCTACTGCCGACAGTCTATGATTTCTAGCAACAACAGGCCTTTTTTCACTGAAGACAGTTTGACGTAAGGAAAGCACAGGTCTAAATAATAAAATCAATGATGGTTTAATTCCATTTAGCTGCTTCAGTTTCAGGATCCTGGTATCGTGCATGCTGGCTCACTGTCACACTGTGATGGCAAATGACTGTGTGTTTCCATCCACTACTGTTATGCGAATAAAAGGAGTGAGTGGCCCTAATTCTCCATTAAACTGTTGCAGGAGAAGAATGCGATGATGTAATGAAAAGAGAACCAGCCACG